TCTGCTTTCTTCCACCATCACTTCCTTTGCCAATGCCTTAGTATCTCCATTTCTCACACGTGCTGTCCAGTACTACCCATGCTTTCTATTTGACATTACAGAACAAAACAAAGCCCAAACACCAACAGTTAACTCAAATTACTTTAGTGGCAAAAGCTGGTCCGTTTTGGAGGGGAAGAAGGAAAAAAAAAAAAAAAAACCAAAACAAAACCCACCAACCAAAAAGTATTACCTGTCCCTATTACCTCTCTTTCATCTTCCTCTATGATTTTTTGCCCTTTTTTTCACAATGGTATTTGAAGATGCAGCACTTTGTGTTTAGAACAGAACTACATATAAAGTGGTTAAATCCAACTTCTTATTACACCATCTCCCAAGCTTTATCCAAGGTATATGCAGGAGGTAACATCTACAAGACTTAATTGACGTGGAACCTACATAGTTGATACTTTCCTCAGCTGAATCTTTTTGAACATAAAAGAACAGTGTACTGTTTCTCTGCCCGCTTATTACAAAACCTAACAAAAAATAGCTTAATAAAATCATCATCTTGTCTTGGAAGCTGCACTGTATATCACACTATCTCATCACAAAACATGCAGCATAAGAAAAGGACTCTACAGGTTACCCTGAAACAAAGTGCATCATCTCCCCCAGCAAGAAATGGGACATGATTCCATTCTCAATCTCAAAAGCCATGCCATGCATAATTAATCTTTATTACCTCCAATTCCTCATTTTGTTGTAATTTAATCTGTTTACCTCTGGAAGACCCTACTCTCAAGAATATTTTCTTACAGAATCTAATCGAACAGCAAAATGAAAAGTGAGTCAGTGAAATTGCCATATTCATAGACACCGAATGACTTGATACAAACTCTTTTTCACAGAGACCGTTAAATGGTCATATACAGACGGTAAGTCACTTGAAAATTTATTACCCTTTTCTTTCCAGGTTCAGAAGCACGTGTATCATAGTCATCTGGAAGCTGTAGATAATCTTCCATTCTGCTGGCAATTGCTTCCCAGTCACGTTTCCTTTTAGTGCCAGTTCGCAAACCATCCAGCTTGTCTGAGAACAAACACAGAGCCTCAGAGTTAAAGGAGAATTTTTTTCTATTACTTACACAAACAAGACGAGAGTGGAAAAAATTTCAAAAGAATGAGCAGCAGAACTTGTACATCCAGCTTGTCTTGACAGGTGGAATGATGAGAGTTGAAATAAACTAGAGAAGACTCAAACCATTTTCAAGTTTTATTGATCTTTCACATTAACTGTGTGGCAATAACACTCAGTCTTGTTATTTGTATGAGGGAGAAAAGCTTGTTCTTCTGGATGTTCATACTATATGGAGTCTGTCCTTACAGGTACAATATAGCCACCAATAGCTAGGAACCACAGATCCACCTTTCTGTATTTGAACACAATACTAAAGCTGTAGCATTTTTCCCAAATTTGGGGTTTAATACTGTGTCAAACATGGCGTACATGCAGTATCAGGGAACAAGTGACGATCATATAATTTAATGCATCAAAGACAAGTTTTTGAGATACTGTTTCTGCTAAACAAAAAGCTCCTTGGAAACCCTGATCCCCCCTTTCTTTTTCTCTCCCCACAAGGAAAACACACTCAAAAATCCTCCAGGACCAGAAAAAAGAAAAATCTCAGAATCTTTTGTTTCATGGTGTAAGAGGTCAGTCATGAATATTTGAGCAGTACGTTCGTCCAACAGTCATCATTTTCTTCTTTTTCCTTATTGAACTGATAAGGCATGAGGAGAAACAATTCCATTCCTAGGTTCTAAAATTTTGTTCCTCTTTGGACACTTATTTTCAGTGAAAAGACACCACCTTCTTGAAATTATGTGGCAAACTGCTTTTGGAAAGGAGATGAAGTATTCAGTGTAAGATTATGAACAACAAAGCATGAAAATGAAAAACGGCTTTACAAGTCAAAGGAAATCCTAGTACTTATGTTGATGTATGCTACCATTTTATAAACCAACAATTCCAGTATATGCAAAAGGAATACTAAGCTTGGCAGTTACATTCTGTAAACCATTTCCAGTGATGTCAGTAACATTGTTTCAAAAGTCACTGATGTAATTAAATTCACCCACAAAAGGCCTCAAAAATAAACCAAATACAAGGCAGTATATTTTCTGGATAGCAGAAGAGGATGTTCAAAGGTATGTATTTAAAGAAGGTCAGTTCAGAGATGGTATTTTTACTTAATATGGGAGAGAAAAGAGCAACAACGGAGATAATGTGAGGCAATGGTGATGTAGACATGCTAGTTATAATTTAAATGCCACAAACTGATGAAGTTATTTTTCCCTCATATAACTCTGAAATTTTTAAAGACTCCACCTTTGCCCCGTTTCCCCGGAACAGATACAGAATTTCTTCTAAGAAAACATTTTAATCCCCCTTTGTCTTTTAAAAAAGCCAACATTTAAGAAAACTGTGCAGAATAATTGTATCTGTTACATGATATCTTGTTACACGATTCAGTTAAGGCTCTTCTTTTGCTCTAAGTTAAATTTGCCAAATTTGAAGCTCAATCTCCACAGAAAGACGGCACTTCCTCTAGAAGACAAAATTGATTTATACAATATTCCTCTGTTACTCCAGCACATAACGTACTTGCACTATTCCTCAGTATTACTCTCAGATCAATCAGCATAGATCATTCGTAGCATAAGGGTTTCCAGAAAAAAATGACATTGAAAACGAGAGCAACAAATGCATTGAGGAGCATTTAGGAACACGAAGAACTGAAAATTCAGGAGCTCTCTGTTGGCAAGTATCTGTACACAGACATATTCCTGTTGGAAGGTCACATGCTATGATGCAAGCTCATCTCATTACCAATGTGGAAGAAAGAGTTCAGTCTCCCACTCCCTGCTGCACACAGACCAATTGAAAACATCGCCAAGAAATGTGTAACTCTCAAACATCAACAGAAGAGTTCAGGAGGCGTTCAGAGTATGAAGTTCCCCTCTGTCCCTTTTCGTTACTGCTACACAGAATTTATTTTAAAATGTTATCTCCTTCCATGTTTGAAGTTGGATTGCCTTTCCAGAAGGATCTGCTTCCATCCATACTATTCTGGTTCAAGGTATGTGTGCCATGCGTAGACACACCACAGAAATGTCAAAAGCCTACCACAAAGCATTATTTCAGAATATTCTTTTCTGAAAATGAGACAAGGTGTTGTTTTGTAACAATGGTGCCCGTAAATATTTATGGCAGATGATTATTTAGTGTTAAATTATCAAACATCATTTTACCATTTCAATTTGAAAAACAATGAAGCAGCAGCATTTCTGAAAACCCGCAGAACTTAAAAACTCACCTTTAGAATTTTAATAATAAAGCATCTGAAAGTAACTCACTTTAGCTCTTTCAAAAACTAAGTGAATCAATCAGCTACATTTTTGCCCTTCTTACACAAAAGCCACAAAGTTTTATGTAAAATGTTATTTGCATTCCAGAGAAAATTTTACAATGGTAGCAAAACTTCAGCTATGCCAGAGCTCATTTCTCCTTTCCTGAAAGTTTGCAGAACTCACCACTAAGCCGCACTTTGAAACAGAGTATTGTGCTAAACATTTCGAATATAGTAAAATTTTAAAAATGTGAGTCTGTTTCTGTAAATTTAAATACAAGAACCCGTGTGCACTATGCACTGAGACAGACCAGTGATTAGACTTTAGAATAAAAACGTGGCTGCGCACTCACAACACATAAGGAAATGATATACCACACACACACTCAGAGGAATGCATCACCCCTGCCAAAGTAAATCTGAACTAAAGCAAGAGCTCTGGGGTGTACGGTATGGTGATTGTCACAAGTCAGTGTTGCAGCTAAAGAACTCAAACTTTTCAGACATTTTCTGAGGCTTACTACAATCAGTAAGATCTTATTGTGCTTTCCTGTAGCAGCATCTACTCAGAAAGAAAACAAAAAAGCAAAACAAGACTTACTGTGTTGCTTTTTTTTTGATTCTGCACTTATATCACTTCTGCAAATGTGTGCCCTCTGGGACTGACAAAATAAACCTGATGGGCAGGCCAACTCCCAGGAAATAACTCAGCTTTGGAGTAACAAATGCATACAACAGTTTACATGCCTTTCAGGAAATAATTTTAATTGGTCATCTACAACAAAGTCTTATTGTGAACTAAATATAATAATTCTTACTCACAGACTGCAAGTGCTTATAATGCATACCTTGAGCTATAAGTTGTCTGCTCTTGCAGAGCAATTTTTCAAAGAAACAGCATTCATTACATAGGAATGCCTGGCTTTTTTTAAATGTATGTTCTGTCAGAATCTACTTTTAATCTATAGTTCTATATATTTATAAAAATGAATCTAGAGGGTAGTTATAAAAGTAAAATCGCAAATACACATTTAATAGAAATACCTGTGTCTTGCAGCATGCTAACATCCAGTTTGTTAATGGAGTTTGATTGTTAAAGGATTATTGCAACAGCCTTGCAAGTAACTTACTTTAGCATAAAATTTGACTCTGCTGCTTGCTCCCCATTTTACATTAAAGTGGAGACCATATAAAAATCCTGTGTTTTATATTATGGAGTTTTCATATGGAAAGAAATGCAGTACAGTTCTTTGTTGCTATTTGTTAGCAGTATTTGATCATGAGAAAGGTAAATTTTGAAAGCTATCTGTAAATTCTTGCTGCAGTCCCAGCCTCCACATTGCTAGAAACTACACGTAAAACTTAAATATTTTTAGAACACACTTTGGACTCCTGTGATATTTGTAAAACACACAGGATGACTTCAGGTTCACCATATGCAGCGCAATGCATCTGTTCCTACTACTCAGTATTTAAAGAGGTCTGTGTTCTTTGGAATACAACACAATGTATCAGAGCATTCTTCAACAATGCAGTTTCCCAGTACTATGATTTCATACATAATTGGGGGGGGGGAATCATTATAAACTTAAGAAATAATCTAAAGATATTAAAACAATCAACTCATAGCAAAAATGCAGAGCAATCCTGAATTAATTCTGTCTGACTGTCTAGCTGTTTGATACACTGGAATCATCGTGCACAAGGCTCCTCCAGTTGTACTGCAGGTGCCACAATGTCAATATATTCCACAAATATTTAAATGACTTAAATGAGAGCACAGCAGCAGAAAAGATGGTGCAGCTAAGCAGTTAACAGCAAAAGATGAAAGGCTGCTTTATTTAAGCCAGAACTTCTAATGCTATTTCTACGGTGCAGTTGTGATTTTGGTTATTGGAAAGTAATGATATACAGGGCTGTACCACACATGCAGAAGCAAACCTCAACATGTTAAGACATGCTGTGTCCCATTCAGAATTTTGTTACGTCTCATAGATGTGACAGAAAATAGAGGTTTTATGCAGATTGCATTGACAAAATCTTCACTGTTCAGTGAAAAAAAAATACCAAAACCAGTCATAATGACTGGAAACCCCTTTCCATGTGTACACCTTCAACCATAGCCGTGGTGCATGCATTTCAGCCTGAAAGTTGCTTTTGACTTTGACAGAATCCTAATATTAGCACTTAGGTCTAACACAATCAGCAGCACTAATCAGAACAAAAAGTGCAGCAAAAATAGTGCCCTTGTGCTCCTGGAAAGTCCATTTTGCATCCTATTAAGAAGAATTCTAGTACTCTCCTGGAACTGAAAAGCATAATGAACTTTTAACTTTTCAGTACCTAAGTTGTTGAAAAGATACACTGAGGCCTAATCACTCAGAACCAACTTCAAAGCATGGCACTACTTTGTCCTCACATGAGTCAGTATTGGAGCGCAAGAAACATCTTCAACACAGTTAGCTACTAGGCATGTCTCCAAGAAAGTAAGAAGTAACTGATGACATTTAGGCTTGAAAAAAAGGTATGCAGTATGAACAAGAATACAGTGCAATGTAAGTTGACTCTTTGCTTTTTATAATACGGAAGAGATGAATAAAGAATAGAAATACCGCTTTTTTAAAATTTTAAGACAAAGTACCTTCCTTGAACAGATGGAAGAACAGTTAATGAGTGTATAAAACAGTGATGGTTACAAAGTCATAACTCCCTTGCCTCTGGCAGAAGACAAATTCCTTTTCTGTACAGAAGCTTTTGCAGTTTTAGACATGTGTATGAGATCAATAAATTTATTTGTCTTTGGTAAGGAGGCACAGTAAAAACAAAAATTCAGGTTTTGCAATCATCATCAGATACCAACTATAAGAAACAGGAAAAAATAAATACCCACCTAGCTTTGCCTCAGAAGTGTCCATCTCCCATTTGCTTTTCGGAATGTAACCCTAAATCATACACAGAGAGAAGCTCGGAGGATTAGAGAGAGACACACATGCATATCACTTTTGAACTGGAAACAGCATTATAATGGGAGCTTAAAGTATTTCTTTTTGTAATGCACAATTCTTGTTATCAGATGAAGGAAACAAATTACTCAGTATTTCAGAACTTCTGCATCCACTTCCCATTCAGTGATTTTAGCAGCCCTTGCAAAGCATTACAAGAGTGCTGCCCTCTGCAAACACAAAACTCCAGAATGAGCCTAACAGACAGCAATGACGCTGTGTGCACAGTTACTGTATTACATTATCCCAGCTGGCAAAGTTATTGCAACACAACTTATCAGACATAAAGAATATTCAAAGCTTTACAAATACAAATGAAAACGTTACCATAGTCATAAGCTTTTAAGAATATATTCCCAGATTTACAACACACAAGCTTCACTTAATAATCCTTTTGAAGGGACATACTAAGTTCTTGTATGAATGGTTAGTCCACAACTAAACAAAATTATTTTTTTAGTTTAAATGAGAGTATCTACTGAACCACTAAGATTTAAGTATTATTTTTCATTTTAAAATAACCCTCTTAGTTCAATGATTCTTTTAAAACATTTTTT